GCTACTGTTCCTTAATTCATCTAAATGGTACTGTACAAATTCCATGACACCTTGCAGAACTATAAAATATCTCTGTTTCCAACCCTCCAAAACCCAACAAATCCTCTTTATTAAACAACATATACAGTTCACTGTGTAAGATGAGGTTGTAGATGGAAAACAGGTGGTGTTTTCCAAGAATATATTCCTTCTTAGAAAGGTTTTAAAGAGTTAGAAGCTATTTGTCTAATTCTAAACCTGAAATTGAATATTTGAGAGTTTGGGGGAAAACTTTCTAGTGCCTTATAAAATAAATGAAATGTAATTATTTTTAGCTAAGTAGATTTTTGTAGATACTGACACCAGTATTCCTCCTCCCCTGTCAGAGTTCTGTCCTGTGTTTCACTGAACATTTCCTCTAATAACTTCAGTACATACCCTTCCATTGAGTTTCACTTACTGTATCAAGAAGGAGCTTATTTTGATTTTATTGCTCTTTTTCCTCTATGTTTTTGTTCATGAAATGGTGGAATCTTCACTTAATTTTCTGTTGCCTTTAAGCAGCAAATACCTTTTACTCTGGATTGTAATCTTGTCGTTAAAGTGATGCCAGTAACATACCCTGTTCCTTAGAGAATAATTATGTGGTAGCATTCTGAAGACTGTCATCCTTTCTCTTTCCTGCATCTTCAGGGTTGATGAATGTCGGTGTTACTTATAAATGCAGTTGGTTAACTTTCAGTTGGACAGTAGAAACGTTTTTTTCCCCCCTCTCTTTGAGTAAATTCTAACTTCACTAATAAATACAAATTCCTCCTTGTTAGTTTTTCTGCACACAAAAAATTTAGTATTCCCTAGTTTCATTTGAGCAATTGATGAGTCTGAAGACCTGGAAAGATTTTTCACTGCATTTTAGATAGGAAGATAGGTAAGATTTGCTCTTGACTTTCTGGATTTGTGAAAGGTTACAAGTCTCAGTTACTGGTATGAAGAGGGGAGGTTATATTTCAGATTGTGTGTTTGATCATGGAGGAAAAAAGGATGACTTTTTAAGGCAATACTGTGTAAGAAGATGTCTGAGTAGATGCAGCCCTCTCATAATTGATGCAAAAACAGATCATGCTGAGTAGAAAAAGTTGAGTGACTGTGTAGAAAAACAGAGACTTGAGGCACTAGCATCCAACTGTGGAGAGTAGGGCCTTGTGCCTGGAGTTTGTTTTGAGAGAAGCTCTCTAAAATTAGTGTGAAAATTTGATGGGAATAAACTGGTGGCTCTATTGAAGGAGTGGGGCCTATCCTTCTATCTCTGCATCTCCCTTCTGTATTGACCAAGGCCATGGCACTTGGAATGATTGACTTAGATAGCAGAAAAATTAACCCAATTTTCTGTTGAATCGGACCTATAAACTTCTCTGTTTTTCTTTGGGATTTGTCTTGCTGTCGTGTGAACATGTTTATAGTATCGCTGAATGTCACAATATTGATCACGGTGACTACCTGTCTCAGAAACTGTGACTTCAAGTGTCAGAAGCCCTGTGAACCCTTCTGCCTGAACAAGCCCTGCTGAAACCTAGTGATGTGAATGTCAGGGGAGTCGGAGGCTTGAAATCACATGCTGGGTTTATGGAGCAGTTCTTGACAGATGGATTGAAGGGGGTGGTGCTGGCCATTCTGGATGCCTGGCACATTGATTCATTGTTTATTGAAAATGTATTAAGGAGATACATAATAAGATGATAAATTTTTAACTTTTTCTCCCTCCCTTCATTTTTTCCAACTTTTCCGTTTTCATTTCTTTCATTCCACCACTTTTTTTTTAGCTTTTTTTTAGCTCTTATTAACCTGTTAGTGAGTGATGAATGGCCAGTTTGTGAGACTTAGCCTTTTTCTCAAAGCTTCAGGATAATGTTCCAAGATAATTAGTTATGTTTAAAGGGCTCCTTTATATGTGAATAACATTGAAAATATCAAATTGTTCATGTGAGTATGACCTTCGTTAGTGACCAGTAGAAATCATGATTTCTTTGTTTCAAACACATAGTGGTAAAAGTATAGGCTCACTCCATGTGGAGAGGAGAGGCTACTTAAGACCCTAGCTTGATACCACGCAGCTAAGATTTATGCAGCATTATAGCTGTGTTCTCCCACTGCTACCCAGAATTGGTACTGGCCCAGATGGAGGTCCTGCTGGAGTTCATGTGACTGTTGTATTTGCCAGAGCTGCAAGACTGAACTAGGACAGGCTGGACTGTGGAACCTAGGAAAGCCAACTGCTGCACACAGCAGCTCTCCTTTATTCGCCGACCCTTAAGAGTGTGCACAGCCTCTGTTCACCTAAGGAGCGCCTGCACTGCAGAGCTCCCTGAACTTTAGATCATTGGTTTTCAAAATGCAGTGAATAGATGTTTAATTGACAGAAGGCATTAGTGCTTCCCCCGAACGTTGATGTTTTAAAAAAATTTCACAGACACGGACAACTACACACTTAGTATTCTTCTAATCTTCTGGTGAACACAGCAAGGATTGCCGGGGCAATGCATTTTTGAGCGGCTCTCTGAAAGATGCCAGCGCCTTCTTTCAAATAAGACATTATTCAGCTCATATGATCTGACCCGTGTCCAGTCTGCACAGCTCGCTCTCTCCTTTTTTCCGCCTTTTCTCAAGGACTAATGTAAGTTTGCAAGGGTTCTGACACCCCCTGCTTTGTTTCAGGCCCTGGGGGAGGAACAGTTGTGAATGCAACGTGACTCACTGACTCCCACTTTCCTGATTCTGGTTCTGATTGGTCGTCACCTTGCTCTAGCCATATGGCTGCAGAGTACTCTAGCCTGCATGCCTTTCTTGTTCTTTCCCCTACTGTTCCCTTCTGTTGTACATAGCACTGGGAGTGGGTTCCCGGCTTTGTCTCTTGCATCTAGTTTAACCCGGTTAGGCAGTAGGTAGGAGAGCACCCTGTATCTCCTAAGGATGGCTGTAGAGGAGAAAAACACCCTTTCCTTTTGTGCCTGGTGCAGTAATTATCTAGTTTCCTGTGCTGTTTTTGTTCAGAGTTTATTTTTTGGCAGATATCACATTTGTGTTGTATTATTTACTCCTGATTTCTCTCCTCCCCCTGATTTAAGCTGGGATGATTTGTTTTTGTGTTTTTGGAAAAAGTTCTTGGTCCCTTTCTCTAGCTGCTGATGCTACACTTTAGCTAGTTTGTTAATACGTTTGATTAATGCTGATTAATGTGTTGGGGAGGGAGACAGAAAGCAACTCTAAATATTTCTTTAATTGTAAATGTCGAAATGTTCTGGCAGTCACTAAGCAATAAAATCTACATGTGACACTCAGAATTATCCATAGCACCACTGCTGTTACCTCCCCTTCTCCTAAACTGTATCCATTCAATTACTCTGCCTTTTGTACTTGAGAAATAGGATTTGAAAGTTATTTTTATAAGAATTTGATATTTTTATTAATTTGCATTTTTAGTATTCTGCAGATGGTTTCTGGAAAGACTTTGGACTGTGCATCTTTTCTTTTTAATATTTAACTGCTCAAAGACAAAGTGCTAGAAAAGTATAAAGTATAGCAGACTTTCCCCCCCAAAATTGGCCTTTATATGCTGTTTTCATTGCCTAAAAAAATACTTAAAATTTTCCCAAGTATACATATTGTATTGACTTAAAGGTTTTAAAAATCCATTTTGTAAATATCTTAATGTTCAAATATGTTAAGCAAGTAACCTTCAGGTTTGGATTCTTTAGAGAGTATGTGTAGTGAGGTTGATTAAACTCATAAGCAAGAATGTGAAAATCAACCTGGCCCTTACGATTTCACTTAACCCTTTATTTAAAGATCTTCATTCACTTCTTCTCTATTTAAAATCTGTATTAGAGAATAGCAGTCTAGTTTTGCCAGAAATAACAAACCTCAGCTGATGAGCTCGCTTGACAGTGGAGGAGAGGAGTGCTGCTTGTACTTTCTTCCCAACATTAGAGCAGGAGAGTCAGAACCCAGGTCTGGCCCCAGATGGTTATTTTCTCTGAGCCACTAGCCAGTCTTTGGTCCATCACTTTACACATCATGTGAGGAGAACCAGGACAGTTACTTAGCTGCATCCTTCTAGATGCAGAGTTTAGTTGTGAACAAAATAAGTCCTTGCCCACGTGGAGCTTACATTCTGTTGAAATATATTATTATAGTAATGAAGGTTTATACAAATATACAGTTTTTTTAATTTGAACAAGGTCTAGAAAATTCAAAAAAACCTTAATTTTAAATTTTCGTCCCATGTAACTAAAACTCTACTCAGCCTAAACAAATGTATGTGTTTCCACAAATCCTGTCGCAGCAAAGCAGTCTGCTCATGAGTTACATGCTTCAGTAATTTAGGTCTATTGTATATATTGTATAGTGCTGGGAATAAGGTTTCTTTGTTTAAAAGCCTGTTTAATGTTTGAAACTGGGATAGATACATGATATTTGTTTGATTAAAAAAAGTAATAATTAGTTAATAACTAATAAAAATGACTGGTATCTATGTTATCAGATGCAAAAAAAAAAAAGTACCTACCAATCTGTAGGAATCCTAAGGACGTTGTTAATCACCTCATTTTACAGAACAGGAAATTGAGACATAGATAGGTTAAGCGATTTGACCAACATCATATAGGTGGTAAGTAGCAAAACTGAAATTTGAATTGAGGCAGTATGTCTCCAAAGTCATGTCTTTACTGCTACGCTATACTGCCCTTCCAGCCTAGCACACTAAGCTGGTAATAGCCAAGGAATCTTAGATCTGCTGTGTGACCTCCATTAGCATTTCTTCTCATCTGTGTGCCTCAGTTACCCTTTATGCATAAAATGTTTCTTATGCCATGGGTTTCTCCTCAGTTGTTGAATCTGTAAATTTTAGATGTAACGGGTTTTAGGTTAAGAAAAGATGTCAGAGGCATATAATTGCTGCATATTTCTATATAGCTGATAGAACGATATTCTGATAGATTTTATTCTTTTTTATCCTCATTTGGTAGAAAAGAGTAGTTGAACAGCTACGGAAGAACCTGATAGTAAAGCAAGAACAACCAGACAAGTTCCAAATACAGCCATTGCCACAATCTGAAAACAAACTACAAACAGCACAGCAGCAACCACTACAGCAGCTACAGCAGCAGCAGCAGTACCACCACCACCACGCCCAGTCAGCTGCATCCTCTCCCAACCTGACTGCTTCACAGGTACACGTGTGGGTGGAGCGCTGCAAGCTTCATGCTATAGGCTGATTTGTTATTGGTCACGGACAACTGGGTCTTGTTTCAGACTGTATTAAGCTCAACTAGCACTAAACAAAAGTTACTTTGGTTACTTTTTTATAGTACAACTGGGATAAGAATCACTTGAAATTCATTGGCAGAAGGAAATAACATTACTAAGGAGTAAAAGTTAAATGATTTCCCACCTGGCCAAAGAAGGGGGAAAGGTAATCAATGACAAAGAAAAATCACTTCTCTGTGTTAGAACAGAACTAAAGTGTTACTTTGAATTTCTGAAACTATTTATTTGCACTTGTTCTAAAAAATCTGTGTGACTTGACTTCTTCAGAAATTGTTTTTCTGGAATTCTTAGCAATTAAGTATAGAGATATTCCAGGATCAGTGCCCTTGGGACCAGGTAGAAAGAGGCATTTAGAAAGTTGTATGTTTCCATTGTTCACAGAAACAAAATACTCATTTCCAAATCCACATTCACCTCTTAGGAGAATGCGTTTCTGTTCTGAAGGAAATGGAAGCTACAGGTCACAAGTAGCACTAAGGCATGGAAGCTTAAGAACATTGTTTTTTTGTGTGTGTGGCGGGGGTGGTAATTAGGTTTATTTATTTATTCTTTAACAGAGGTACTGGGGATTGAACCCAGGACCTTATACGTGCTAAGCACATGCTCTGCCCCTCTAATATTCTCCCCATCTAATAACATTCTAATTGGTATAGCTGTGCATATGATTTCACTGAAAGGGATGTTTTCACAAGCAAATGATGTGAAGATATCGAAGTAGTCAAGGTACACAAAAAGGACATATTTGGGGATGGCATTCAGTTAAGTATTCATGCTCAATCTCCAAACACTTATATGTAATGTGGACCAAACCTTTTAAAATGGAACACTTGAGCAGTGGTTCTCGATTCTTGGAGGTCACAGACCCCTTTAGGACTGTTGAAAGCCATGGATTTCCTCCCCAGAAAAATACACATTTATACCTAATACACTCATTTATGCACATCGTTTCAAAAACTTTGGGATCTTCTAAAACCTAGGCATGGACACCTCTCACCCACCAACACCATCTTCACTATAGTTTTATATGTAGAGGAAAAGATTTTAGTTTACTTGATCATTCACTGTTTATGGACACTGGGCTGGTTCAGATACAATATTTTGCAAATGAAAAATACATTACTTATAAAAATACTGAAGATTACTAATTAGTTGACATTTAATAGAGGTTACTATGTACTGGCACCTTCCTAAGTGCTTTACATGTGTAATGTATGCAGCTCACACCCCAACCCTAATAAGGACAGTGTTGTTGTTATTATTGTTATTATCTCTGTTTGTTAGAAAAGAAAACTAAGGCACAGAGAAATTAAGCAATTACCTAAAATCATATTTGTAGTATATGGTAGAGCCAAGATTTAAACCCCCATATTCTGACTGAGAAAAGCTCTCCTTTTGCTGGTCTTCTATACTGCCACACAATACCAAATGAAAAAAAGAAAAGAAAAGAAATCAAATCTCAACACTATATAAAACACCAGAGAAGAAAAATGAGGAATGTCTGTTGTAAATCAGGGTAACTAGAGTGGCCTACATCATTTTTATCCTAATCTCCAAGATTAATTGAAAATTAGGCATCCAAACTGACTTTAAGAGCCCTCTGACCAGAATTTATATTTCTTCTAAAAGATTGCCTATCAGTTTACTTTTGTTGGAGTTGTAAATGGAGTTGGATTGGTTGTCCTCTTCCCAAAGTACAGTTTGATCAAAAAGTGTTTGTGTGGAAGGAGTGTGGTATAATTCGTTGTTTCCTGGTATGTGGGAGTTTTCTCTTTTAACCCATGGAAACTTCCTGTTCCAGTGCCATTCCACAGCACACAAATCAGAGAAAATACTCATGTAACACGTACAATAGCTGTTCTCTTCCCTCTGGTCACCTGAGTTCTGTGCTGCTTTGGAGTGGTAACAAGAAGGGCCTAGGGCTGTCCCCAGAACAGTGTTACGTGGCATCTCTCCATCTGGGAGCCCACCTCATACACTTAATTGATTTAGCTAAGTGTGTTTTATGTTATTTTGTTTTGTTTAGTGTTAAAAGCCAAAAGATCGCTAGGTTTTGGGGTTTGTTTTTATAGTAAACTGCCAGTAAGTGTTTATTGGGTGCTCTCTGTGTGCTGGCTTCTAGTATACAAAGAGATAGTAATGATCCCTGCCTAGAATCTGGTGTACAATGATACTTATTTTCATTCATTATGTAAGTATTTATTGATTCTCTACTATATGCAAGCACTGTGCTAAGCAATGTAGAGGATAAATTCACAAATAAGACAGGATTTCTATCTTCAAGAATTCAAAAAAATTTAGAGAAAGAGAGGAAGATATAAACAGCTAACAAAGAAGAATAAATGGAAGGAGCTGTGAAATACCAGAGGATGATAATATTGAATAGAGGGGTCAGTGTGCTTCATAAAGGAGGTGGCTTCTGACCAGGGCCTTGACAGATAAATGAGATTTCAGTGACAGAGCAGAGGATGAGGAGCATCAAGGTGTAGAGAACAAGGTGAACAGAAGTATAGACCGAAAAAGTAAATGCATGCCATGGAAGTAGCAAGGAGGCTGATGTGGCTGGAGCATGGATTCTAGGAAATGATGGAGAGGGAGATAAAGCCAGAAAGGAAGGGAAAGGCTAGCTTGTGGAAGCTCTCTGATGTGTGGCAGAGCTTTTGGGGGTCTTGGCAGTTACAGGGAGTCATTAAAGGTTCATGAAGTGAAGGATGAGTGGGAATTTTAATATATGACATATATTAAATGTCTTAAGTCCAGAAAGGATTGACTATTAATTAGCAATCTGTGTGGGCAGGGAGGAGATGCTAGGAAGAGAAAGTTTTTTATTCCGTATCAGGTGATTAGCATGTACCAAGGCATGGAGGAGTCGGGGACCAGCTCCCTTTACTTAGCTAACTCCAACCCATTCTTGTATGTATATTTTGAAATTTTTCCAATCTACAGAAAAAAATGAAAGAACAGTTGAATACAGGTATACTCTTCAACTTATATTCACAACCCTGTCATTTTTAATGATGTAATACAAATGTAAAGGAGCATGCAGTTAATAAAACCAAACAAAATAAACCCTTATAGTAAAAAGAGGGGGGTTCTACTGGCAGTTGTTTGAGTGTACAACAGTTACCTTCCATTCAAAATTAAATGAGTAGTTTAAAATAGATGTGGAAGTTAATTAGAGCCCATAGTGACAATTCCTCTAAGTTATGATTTGTACATTGATGGGAGTCAGTCTTTTTAAAATCAATACCTCATGCTTTGCAGTTAAAAAAAACAATAATAACTTAGCAAAAAAGTAAATAAAAGGATTTTACTCTTACTGCTTCTTGCCAGGTATTTTCTGCATTAATTTCATGCAATTTGGGTTTGGGGTTTTGTCAAAATGAAAGAACTCCTTCAAGAAATTGGGGAAACTGCTGTCATCTCTTGAAGGTGATCATACTTGCACAGCATCAGTCAGCCAAGGACTAGTCACAGCTTCCTTAAAAACAATTTTCTTTATTGTTGGACACCTTTGCTCTCTGCGTCTCCTCTTCCTCCTGCCAGAACAATTCAGAGGTTTTCATTAGGCTTGGATATCAAAATTCTAGATTCTCTTTTGTCATCTAAACTCAAAACTCAAGAGTTTAATTTATGTTTCCTAATTCACAGAATAAGGACCAGACTAAGAGTGAAGATCTAAGCAAAACCTGTGTCAATACCTGGTGTCAGTAAAAGATTAACGAATGTATTCTTCAAAAACTTTTCATTTGTGCATATTGTACCAAGTCTTGTGCTTGTATGTACAGAGTTATGTAGATGCTAGGATACATGTAGTGAAATTAGCTACAACTCAATATTATAAAGTAGAATAAAAATGCTAACCTAAGATGTGAACAAACTTGTTAGGTTTCAGTGTTTTTTTAGTGTTGAAGTTAATTGTAAGTATAGAATTCAGGTGAGTTTGAGATTTTACTCACTTTTTAAGAATAATCACTTTAGGATTATTCAAAATATTGATAACGACTTACCTGAACCAAGGATGTTTCAAACAAAAGTACATTGACCTCTTTTAAAGCAGTAACAACATGCACAACTGTTTCTAAAATCCGTATTAGTGAATTCTGCTGATTAGAGCTTTTCTTCCATAACCCATAGTGGCACCAGCATTGAATGCCACCTGATGTGACTTGCTCACCACTTCAAAAGTTTTTTGTACTTAAATGTTTTAAATTGAAAGATAGAGCTAATATCACAATGGGTTAAAATACTTATTAAAAATGGCTGGTAATATAAAGTCAGTCCTTGCTCCTATACTACTGTAATGTTTCTGATGATAAATAGCATTTAGCTTTCATTTGGTTTTCATCACTGATAGGCAGTTGACAACCTGCTACCTCCTAAAATAAACAATTATCAGTGTTCCCCTTTTACTCCCATTTCACATTTGAGGGCACAGTGGCAAGGACAATAAACTCCTGTTTTGTTGACTTAGAGGAGAGGAAACAGATTTGGGTGCTTTTAATTACAGGCATCGGTGGATTGCTGATTAGGCTGTGGGATAGATGAGGCTGGATTATTACATTTTTTTGGTTAGAAGAAAAAAAAAGATATTAAAAGATTAGATAATACATACATGTATGTATGTGTTTAAGGCGGAAAAATTACCTAGAAGCAAACAACTTAATACACGAGGTCTTGCATAGATGCTGAACTAGACATTCACAAAGCAATCTGTCCAGATCTGTTTTAGGGAGAGTGGGGTCCCCTTCCATGGTGGAGGGAAGTGCTGTCCAGTAGAACTTTCTGCAGCATTGGAAATTTCCTCACTGTCCATTTTGGTAGCCACTAGCCACATGTGGCTGTTGAACACTTGAAATGTGGCTAGTGTAATTGAGGAACTGATGTTTTCATTTTTATTTTGTTTTAATTAAATTTAAATACCAGCATGTGGCCAGTAGCTATCAAATTGGACAGTGCAAGTATAGAGTAAGAAGAAAAAGGTAGAATAATATCAAAATCAGAACCAATGGGTTAGACCAGATCAGTTTTAATGTTCCTGAAATGTCTCTGTCTTGAGTGACTAGTAGCACTGGATAGATGTGTGTGTCATGTAATGAGGTTGTTTATATTCTCTTGTTTTATAAATGACTCCTTTAATTAACATAAAGCCTAGAAAAATACAGCTTCACAGCCATAGCAGCACTTCTGGAGCATCAGTCTAGTCTTCTCCCCTCAGTTTAGACTCTGATCTGTTAAGACTTTTTGAAACCCAGGTGTTTGTTTCTACCTTGTCACATCTTACTGCATCTTTGATCACTTCTGCAGCAGTTCTCCAGAGAAAAGATTATAAGTAGTGACTCATATCCCTTTGGTATCAAGAGCCAGTATTTACTATACTAGTTGGTTAATAGGTTTTCCTGTGCAGAGTTTGGGATTTACTGTCTTTGAGGCAAAAATTATACTAATTCTCACATGAGTTTCCCTTCCTGCTCTCCAGGGTGACACTCAAAAAAATTAAAAGACACTGTCCTTTTATCCCAGCTTTTGTGTCACAGCAGGCTGATAACCAGAATTATATGGTAGCTTTCTTCATATAGTTGAGGTTGTAGCAATTAAGGATAGAGATGGTTTGTACCTCATTGATTTGCAACTTCTACAAAGTTTAAATTAATTGAGAGAAAGCAAAGGATTAGAAAAACCAGAAGAAACAGGTACACTCATATTCTGTATCTGTAAATCCACCCCTTTCCTTGTTAAAAACCCTGTGCCCATATTAGCCTGTAGTTATTACTATGAACTTGAAGCTAAATTTGAGAACTCTGGCAAACTATAGATTGCCTTTCCCTGTAATAGGAACTGTGCTCTGTGTACACAAAAGAAATGTTGTTATACCAAGAAACTTGACTGATTATGAGAATTATTGCTTTGTTTCATTCTGGAGGTGAGCGTATTGTTTAGTGGGATCACACTTCAGTGTCCTAATATCTGTTCTCCATGTCTCCTAGAAGACTGTAACTACAGCTTCTATGATTACCACAAAGACACTACCTCTCGTCTTGAAAGCAGCAACTGCGACCATGCCTGCCTCTGTTGTGGGCCAGAGACCTACCATTGCTATGGTGACCGCCATCAACAGTCAGAAGGCTGTGCTCAGCACTGATGTGCAGAACACACCAGTCAACCTCCAGACGTCTAGTAAGGTCACTGGGCCTGGGGCAGAGGCTGTCCAAATTGTGGCAAAAAACACAGTCACTCTGGTAAGCCAGCAGCTGCTACTCATGTGTGCCCACATGAAGGGTTCAGGATATGCATTTGTAGAGTATATCCATTTTATGCTTCTGCTGGATTTTCCAGTCTCCATCACTCTCCTACTGTACCAAATTCTCCTTTGGGGCTGACAAGGGAACATGGCATTCCTACTATCTATTCAAGTAACTATAGAGGTGTCCTGACACCAAGGACCAAAACTCTTTCAGGCATTATCTGAGGTCAAAGTATGACTTGACTTGAGGGGGAAATGTCCTTCACAGGACATTCACACTGTTTTCACATATCTCTCCCCCATCTTATCCACAGTCCTTCCTGTGAAACTTGAGTGCTTAAGCTCTCTGGTGCTATATTACTAATTTGGGGAAAACACTCTGCTGAATTATTTTAGTTTGCTGTTCCTTGAAATTGCACCCAGGAAGTACTGGAGTTAGTTGGGACACTTTAAAAATATTCCAGAAACTCGCAGATTAACAGTATTCATGTCTAAGGTCTATCAGAAAAAAGATCCCAGAAGGAAGAAGTACTTGAACAAAAATCATTCTTGAGATTTCTAGGGTAAAACCATCTAGAAGCTGATGTTCTCAGAAGCTTGGGGAAAATATATCCAAATTGTGGTTTAAACATTTGCTCCTAAAATGGAAGCTAAGAGCTCTTGGTAACTTTTAAATAATGACTAGTGGTGAGTGAAACTAGAGAGCATTAAAATGAAGCTTACTACTTACCCAGGAATCTTTAGAGAAGTAACCAGACAACTCAGCCAGACACTGAGAGTTAGGAAATTCTCTCTAGGAACAAAGCCATTCACTGTTAGATAAAGCTCCTGTATTAGGAAATAGCCCATTTGATCTAGGCAGCAAGTTTGATTTTTATGTTGAATCCAGTCTTGACTTTTAAAATGCCTGAGTGCAGGAGTTCATGAGTGTCAAAGGAAGTTGTCTAAGATCGCTGAGCCTGCTATATTCTACATTAGGTGAATAAGGAAACCGAAATGTGGTTGGTTCATATGGGGTAAAGCATGCAAGTGGGAGAGTAAAACAGTTTCGTAGGTAGTATTCATTCAGATGATTAATTCTACAATGAAAGCTTATAGAAAATATTGTCTGATCCAGAGAATAATGATACTGAAAATACTTCAAGAATGCCTAGCTTTGATATTGAATAATTATTGTCCTCTCTGATTTAGTTATCTTTCTCATTTTTTAGCAGGTTCAGGCAACACCTCCTCAGCCCATCAAAGTACCACAGTTTATCCCCCCTCCTAGACTCACTCCACGTCCGAACTTCCTTCCACAGGTGAGTAAATGAATGACAAGCCCAGTGATGGGTCAGGTGGGACAGAAATCCTCATGGGCCCTTTCTGAGCAGCCTGTGATGCACTTGTCAGCTCATCTGTCAGATCCCACTTAGCTAAATATTCTAGCTGCTGATCTCTGTACTATGAAGAAGCTTATTTTATCATCAGGGTTTCTTAGCAGTGACCAAAGAAGTAAGAAAAAGGAAAATTACCTAAATTTAAAATAATTAAGATAACACCATTTTAAACCTTATAATGTTAACTTACTGGATGAATTTAGCCAAAACTGCCTGCCAGTGAGGAAGGAATGCAGTTATCACTTTTTTCCTCCACTATATGCCAAAGAGAGTAAGGAAGGAAAAATAGCCAAACTAGCCATTGAAAAGTACTCAGTTCTGCTCTGGAAAGTGATGGCATTGAGCATCATACTTAAACCCAAAGCCTTTTTGATTAAGATTTACACTAGGAAACTGCACAGGGAACTTTCTACCTAGGCTCAAGCAACCCTGCCTGCCCATATTCTCCTGAGTGTATTCTTCCATCAGTTGGGCTGAACTCACCATTCTCATGGCAGAATGTCAGAATTGCCCCAGTCTGGACCTTGAGGGGAGTAGACTTGCCTGGTAGAAAGGTTGGGATTTCCTATCTGAGGCCCCAGCTTTCAGGCAAATAGAGAAGGGAAAAGAAGTTTGGGACCAAAAGTGATTTTTGAATTGCCTCTGGAGATGGGATGGACAGTGCTAACATGATACAAGAGTATTTTGATTGTTCATCAGATAAATCTTTAGTACCTTAGCTATCAAAAGGTTATGCAGTTTTCAGGAGAGTTCTTTGCCTCCTAGAGCTTCAGACACATGTACAGGCAATTATCATGTCCATTATGGGAAGTACCTTGTGGTCTGAGAACACATGGGAAGGACACCCAACTCATTCTTAAAAGTTATTACAGAAAGTTTCCTTGAAAGATTGACATTCAGTCTTAGACCCAAAATCCCAGTGAAGTTAACCTGAGAGAATTTTGGAGGAAGAAAAAAAAAACGTCCCAGGCAGAGGGCAGAGCATATATGCAAGTCCAGGGTGGAGAGATGCATGTAAGCTTAAGAACCAAAGGTGATTTCATGTGGCTGAGCACAGGAGTAAGAGCTGAGGCTGGAGAAGCCATTGGGCCAGAGCCTTTGGAACCTTGTAGGATACATAGGAATTGGACCCTTTTCCTGGGAACAGTGGAGATCCATTAAATTATTTTCAAATGTGATCAGATTTTTGTTTTAGAAAATTCCCTCTTAACCACTGCATGGAGAATAGTTAGGAGATTGTCAGGACTGGCAGGAAGGACAGTTAGGACGTTGTCAGCAGTAACAGTGCACTAGGTACTTTATGAGGGTTATCTATTTTAATCCTCACAACAACCCTGTGAAAGCAGATACTGCTCTTTTTTAGATGAGGAATCTAAGGTTTAGTCCATGTTTTTCAAATGATGGGTCATGACCCATTAGTAGGCTGTGAAATTAATTTAGTGGATTGTAAGCAGAGTTCTTAAACAAAATAAGTAAAATAGAATAGGAAATATTAGAGTACATAACACGTAAGTATTGTCTCATGAAGTTATAGAGGAATAGATACATATCTGTATGTGAGTACTGGTTACGGTGTGAATTGTATTCCCTGTTATGTGTCTGCAGCAACCACTGCAAGGTTATCTTAGGTGCAGCTAAATATTCAGACTCACAAGACTGTTAAGGGCCACACTTGACACCAGCCTGCTTGGAATGATATAGGACAGAAACCAGAGCTTGATAGCAAGACAGCATCAGACATTTTTCTTCAGTGGGAGACCCTATAGTGGTCCATATGGCAGTGTCTGCAGCTGTCCAGGGATAGCTCAGGTACAGGAAAATGAGATCTTTATCAGGAAAGTGGGAGAGCCACCCTCGCACAGAAGCCTTATGCCTCACAGGAGCCCAATAGATCTTGTAACAACTGCATAGGCATGGCTTTTAAGGTCCCCGCAGTGGACGTGCCCAGTTATGAGTCACCCCACTTCAGGAAGTCCAAAACATGGTGTCTCATCAAATATTTTTAATTCTCCCCACTGAGATTTGATTTAGCAATAAGGGATCATTTTTACCATAGGCAGTGTTGCCTGCTAACATAGTTGACATTCTTGCTCTTACTAGGTTTCCAGGGGTATACATCTGGAGAGTTAACTGAAGGTCAGACCCTTATGCATAGGATAAAGGATTTTGCCCACAGGTTCACAGTTTAGAAAGTTTGAAAAATACTGGCTTCAAGAGATCAGGTATGTTATCTGAGGTTACATAACTAAGTGGTAGAACCAGGATTTGAACACAGGCAAGGCTGACCCCATGTGTTTAATCACAGTTTTCTGCCACTGTTTCAGTAAGCCAGACACAAGCTAGAGTAGTGGCAATGAGGATAGAAAGCAGACATATTTGAGAAGGATTTAGGAAGAAAAGGTAGAGTAGGAAGCATTAGGAATGATTCTGGAGTTTATTTAGTAAGAAAAGGCCATTTACTGAGATGATGATTGTAGGAAGAAGAAAGGGTTGGAGGAAGAAGTTGATGAGTTTCAGACATGCTGATTTTGAACTTCTTGTGAAATTTCCAAGTAGATATGTCTAACAGGCAGTTGAATGTATGATTCTGAAGTTCAGGAAATATCGGTCCTGAGATATAAGCATGAAAGTCTTTAGTACTGGATGGTAATTGAAGCCATAGGATGGGTGAGAGCTCCCAAGAGGAGTGAGGACATTGGAGAGAAAAGGGATTCCAGGGCAAAATCCTGAGAAATACTTACATTTTGGATTGGGCAGAGGTAGAGGAATCTACAAAGGAGATTTAGAGAAGGAGTGGCCAAAAATGAGGAGTTAGAGGACCAGAAATGGGGGTGAACTGAAGCTGTGGATAGGAAGATATTCAGAATACGTATTAAGGCCATTGGCAGCATTATTGCCATGTTGGGCACAAGTTCTGGGTGGGACCAGTCCTTGGATTAGGCATTTGACCTCAGCCTGAAGAGGCAGCATGGTATAGGACAGGAAGCTAAGGTTTGGAATAAGAATAACTACATTCTAGGGTAGCATTTGGATCCTCTTAAGAGCTGATGCATCTTTTATAAGATTATTTATCCAGAGAGCTATAGAATTAATAATACCAAAATGAATATTAATAGTATTTGTACTGAATACCACTTCACATATATAGTATAGAAGATCTGACAATGTCTAAGACTTAAATAGGACTTGAGAATTACCTTTAAGTAATATGATAATTGTTTTCTTTCGTCATAGGTTCGACCCAAGCCTGTGGCCCAGAATAACATTCCTATTGCCCCAGCACCTCCTCCCATGCTTGCAGCTCCTCAGCTTATCCAGAGGCCCGTCATGCTGACCAAGTTCACCCCCACAACCCTCCCTACCTCCCAGAATTCCATCCACCCCGTCCGTGTCGTCAATGGGCAGACTGCAACCATAGCCAAAACGTTCCCCATGGCCCAGCTCACCAGCATTGTGATAGCTACTCCAGGGACCAGACTCGCTGGACCTCAAACTGTACAGCTTAGCAAGCCAAGCCTTGAAAAACAGGTACAGACAGAGCATGCACCTGCTACGGGCAGTAGCTTTGCCATTGAGGCTACGCGGTCTGTAAGGATCTTATATTCTCAAGGGCTCTTTATCTCAGCACCATTATCTGCTGCTTTTCCTGTGATAATTTATTCACAGTGCAAAAGGACCATTCTTACTGAAGAAAGTTGGGTTCCTTTACCCTTATAGATGGGTTTAGATTCCTGTGTAAGTGAGCTCCCCCTGCTGGTTCTGAAGCAGAAATTCACAGATGGATTCCACTACCCTCAGTCAAGAAGCACAGATGAGATAGTAAACAGAAGATGCCACATTAGTTTCGGCCCAGTAAGAACCCAGATGAGGATATCACTGAAAGTCAGGAAGGATAAACAAAACAAGGAAAGGGATTTCATTTCAAAGATGTTCCCTGGTTATTACAGACAATGAAGAGCCAATGAAAAAAAGTTAAGATTTTTAAAATGCATTCTTTTAACTCTATAGAGGATGCAGACATTATAGCTCAAATATTGAAGCCTTTCATTTATATTTCTAAAATCAGATTTTTTTCTTTTAAAAATATAAAGCTATAGAAATACAGGTAGCCTCCAAAAAGGTTTCTTAAGTATTCTATGACAGAAAGAGTTCTGAAAACAGGAAAAAGAATGTATAGGCTGTCACCATACTCTTTCTATTTAAAGAAACATCAGTGACAAAAAAGAATTTTGCAAAGAAAAGCATCTCTTTCAAGAAAGTTGCTTTAAAAAGTCATTGACTTATTTCTAATCGCTTGGGCTTGAGTCCTCATTCATCTGAAAATAGTCTCTGGTGATCCTGAATCTTCTGCTTCTGGGTGGCTAACCGTGATTCATTGAGGCTGGCCAGATGGTGGGGAATGAGAAGGCTTCCTGCTGCCTTGGCCTTCTTGAACAGAGGAAACTTACGCATAGAACACCGGCTTTCTACCCAGGCAACTCATGAATGCAGCCAAGCTTGCACTAAGAAGCTGGGTACCAAAATCTTGTACTCAGGAAATAGAATGGAGAACACATCTCTCTATTCCTGGGGCGCCTACTTGAACCCCAGGAAACGCTTGGAGGAACATTCAAAAATAGGTTACTTTCACGTATTTTAGATCAGAAGTTTTCAAATTTATTATCAGCAGAACTTCAATATTAAAATATTGAAAGTGAAATTCTTAAGCCTTAGGAGTTTGGGTGGGGACATGTTTGGAGACCACCTGCCCTTATGTCCTGTGCTGGCTCTCAGAGGACCTCTGAGGAGGCTTAGACTTGTAAAGAGTGGCTTTCAAACACTGTATTCGATTACTAATACTATTTTTGTTTTTTGATAAAGAGAATTTTAGGAGATAAGAATCTTTTCAGTTTCATTTCATTTTTACATTATTTTTTCTGTTTGAAAGATGATACATACTCATTGTAAAAGAAAATTCAAATGTTATAGAAATAATATATTGTAGAGCGTGCATCCCCTCATCTATGAAGAGAGTAAACTTCCCCCATAATTTTACCCCTCAGAAAGTTACTGTTAATGATTTAGGTTCTATTCCTCCACATATTTTCTATGCACATACTAACCTTTTTAAGGTAAAAGGTAAAATCAAACCATATATTATTTTGTAACTTGCTTTTTTCTTATTAGATCTTGAATATCTTTTCATGTCCTGGCCTTACATACTAAGAGAGCTTTTCATTTTAATTATAACATCATAAAAAGGTACCCATAAATTCTTAAAAATTATTAAAAAGTTCTTTTCTAGCAGTGAACTCCGTGGTCTCTCTTCTTGTTGATCTAATAGAGTAATGCAATCATTGCTGTTTAGTTTAGCAGGCCACATGGCCTAGCAGTCTTGCAGGTTACCAAGCTCAGTCAGCAAGGATTCTCTTTAGACTGGACTCCCTTTTCAGAATTCTCTTACTTCAGGTCTTTCTACTATCCTTCTTCTCTTTTTTCACATTTAATTTCCAGTATCTCATTGATAGCCATTAAGAGATCTCATAGATAGGCAATATGTAGCCATGGAAGTACCACTTACAGCCTGCACAGTTACCATAACCTGTGTCTAACATTCACTCTGTGACCAGGCTCGATGGTTCTTTTCTCCTTCCTACTCTTTTCTTGGGGGTGATAACATCCATTTATCAAAAGGTGTCGATCACGTACCAGCTGCTGTGCTACACGTGTTGTCTAATACACGAGTCTGTAAGTCAAAGCCAGTACCTTCACACAGCTCAGTCTGCAGTGCCTTTGGAGCAGGCGCTGTGGCTCTGCTCGGGGGGAGAAAGCATGGAAGGTTGTGTAGTTTCGGAGGCCTCTCCACGTTAGTACAGGAGAGGGAGAGGCAGTGTCAGCTGTGACAGTGGTGGTCTCGCTTCTCCTTCCCCCACCAGGCATCCCCAACTTATCTACCTCAGAGAAGAGAGTCCCTGTCTTACCCCTTATTAGAAGCTTTATTACATCGTGGCTAAGAAAATGAGTGGTAGCGTTTAAAGAGCTTTGGGGCCAGAACCATATTTAAGGCAGAAAAGTAGATAAAACCAGACAAACTTATGGCCCCTACACTGCCTCCATTTATGTCTTTGTCCTCTCTGGCACTCTAGGAAATAGGGCTAAACACCTTTTGATGATGAAATGATATAAAGCGTTTGAAGTCCGGTAGACTGTACCTGATGCAGTTAATTCTCAGGAATTATATTCATTTTTTACATCCCACCCCACCCCCTGCAGTAAAGACCTCTGTGTATGTCCCCAAGGCTAAGCTACTTGAGAAATCCTAGGTTCTATGGAAAAATTTGTCAGCTTGTCACCCATTCCCCTACTTCCTTATATCTCTTGTATAGGAACCTACACAGTATCCTCTTAAAAAAAAGAGTGCTTCCAAGTTGTGAATAGTACCCAGTGTATTATCCTCAAATCCCGGTCTTCCCTCTTAGGAAACTTGAGCTGGTGACTCTTCACGCTCCATTTTAATACTGGTTCTATAGTAGGGAAAATGGAGCCAAGTGACCAAATGATGGACTTTACTTTGCCCTCAATCCAAAATTTTTTAACCTTGATTGATGAAACTATTTGGATATTTTTTAAATTTGCAAGTGCCTAATTTTGATTATACATGCAGCTCAGCCTCAGAAGATGAATATGGAATTCAAGGTATAAATGGCTAACTTAGTTCTTGTCTTATCCAGTTTTTGGTTTCTAACTTTATAAAACCAAAAAAGAACAGGATTTGCAAATTTATACAGGTGCAGAGTAGAAAATATAAATGAATAAAGCAGACTTAGAGTAAACAAGTGGATTTTTTTTCACTTTCAATGGGAACATGAGTACAAGAGATATGCCACTTTTATTCTTAATTTGTCTTTGAAGTAGTAAGACAAGCATGATAAAATTGACAATTTGGCCTTAGTGTCAAGAAAATAATAAAAAGTGGAAGAGACTGTGGTAAACTGCAAAGTAATGTACTCCATCTCAAGGAGGCAGCTACTTTTTGACAATA